TGTGGTTAAAAAAAAATACATATGGTTCAGAACGGATTAACCTTATTTACATTGAACCTTAGGGGGAAATTTGATTCGGTTTGCGACCAGAATCATGGAATGAATTAAGTTTGTGAACCGACGTACCACTGTAGTTTTAAGATAATATTCTATTTTTAGCATCAGTCTACTTGAAAAATAGGTTCTTTAATGAGGTACAATATGGATCAACTTCATGTTCCAAAAAGCATTAGCATACACAGCTTTCGGAGACATAGTAACCATGTATGTCTGCTGTAATAAAAGATGTACGTGGTCTACATATAGAGCTTGGACCTAAAGGCTGTTGGGTGGCCAAAGGTCCAAGTCATCTTTCTTCCTTCCCACATCTTGCACTCACTCCTGTTGAAGCATTAAGCAATAATAATACGATTGGTTTGGTCTGGTCTAGAGTATTGTATGAACCATCTCTTGTGGCTTAAAAACCATGGCTTATTTCATTTACTTCGCAAAGTGGTTAATCCTATGTTTTTCCCTGATAAAACCAATCCTACTGGCAGGCTACAATGTATTATAATTTATTTAGAATAACTTAAAAAAACCCACAAAGAACATTTTACAGAAGGCATTTAAGGTTTCAAATCCGAGCAGTTTAAAAACTCTAGGACAAAAGACATCAGGGGCAGAAAAAAGCGAAGTGCCGTGTATGCCACCTTGAGCTCCTGAATGAAAGGTGGGATACACTTCAAAGAAACAAATACATAAATGTAACTAAAAGCATGGTAATCAATTACATCTTAAGCTAGTGGCGAAAGGCCCTTGGTCAACCATTCGAGGACCGCTTTCAGCATCATTACATTCACCTTGAAATAAACTCAGCACACAACTCGGATTATGTCTTGGCACCATGTGTGAACCCAACTCATTGTGGCTTGTTCAGAAAAGCGTGGTTCACAAAACTCTGCTTTCCACAGAACCCGCAGGCAACTCTACACTTCAAGTAAGCGGTGTGCTTTTTCTAGATTAGCATTTATCTTTAAGGCAAAGGCATAAGGTTAAACGCTACATCTTAGAAACTCAAGAAAAACAGAGGCGTAGCAGATGAGGTGTTTTTCTCCTGGCCATGCAGGAACTTGAGTCGTATTGAGAAGCTGCAGCTAATCTGCTGTTGCTCAAATAAAAGCAGTTACGTATATTTGCATACGTACACTTGGCAGGCCACCCACCTCCCAGAGGAAACAGCTTCTCGGAACTACCAAAAAGGATTAACTTGAAAATGTGTCCAGTTCCATTAACCGAGCCCCTGCCACAACCACCACGGACAGAGAGGTTGGTCTTTTAGCCCATTTGAATCGTGGCTTCATAGTCATGCTCTTTCCTATGGCTATATGCACACCCAGCATGGATATTAACCATGGTTTATTGGATAAACCCTAATTGCCTGAGTTCACACAGCACACCAGGCCAATAACGCCGCACCTTAACCTGTGACGTTAAAGTAATTCCTCTCCTCTGGATCTCAAAAATCATCGGGCGCCATAAAAAAGCAGGTAAGGGGCCATCTTGAATGTAGCATATCCTCCTTTTAAAAATGTGTATGGGAGAGGACATTAACTGAACTTGCTGTGTTGCTGTAATTCCAGAGAGATGGCACTGGATTGGTTAATTCTTTGCTTCTCTCTGAAACGTGGTATGTGCTGATATAAGCTTGGCTAGGCAGTTATATGCACCCTACTTATCTACTCAGCTAAAGTCCGAAGCAAGCTCAGAGGAAACTCAAAATCCAAACGCCAAGGATTTTTGCAGCACAAAAGAATAGTAGAAGAACGTGTATATGGACAGTTTAATAACCAACGTAATAAATCCACAGTAATGCAACAGATTGGTTTCATTAAACAAATGTATATTATAGAATTACAGTTTAAAACAACCTCCAAAGTACAGTACAGATCTAACAAAACCCCAGTTTCTAACAGATGGGCACGGTAAACCATAGCTTCATTGAAATATCCCGCTATGAATATTTTGTGTGTGCAGAAATATCTGACTTTGAGAAAGGTCTTATAGACAGGTATACTTTTAAAAAAAAAACAAGTGTGATATGGCTTTGTGTTACATCACAACGTGGCAAAACCCAGGTTTTTACCATTGGCCTCGGACTGAGACATACATTTCTCTACTGCCAGATTTCTATTTTGTTTTTACATGCGTGTGTATGTATGACATGTATGTATACATAATTCTCTCTCTCTCTCTCTCTCACACACACACACACACACACAGTTTGTCTTGGGATCAGTAGACATAATGAAACCTCCAATTACATGCAACATCAGAAAACCAATAAGCGAACTTTAAAATAGTTTAATCAAGGTACAGTACTAACTTTGTGCAGGTTCATTCATCGGCCAGATGGTCTTAAAATTATTATAATCTTTGCCTGAAATATATGACTCCTTCTTCATAGTAATATATTCTAAATAACTATCAAATTTCATGGAATTATCCACTAAAAAGAATCTGTCTTCATCAGAAGATAACTATTGTTCGTAAGAACTACTAGGTCACTTAATGAAGAAACTAGATGTTGATTTTCCACTATACCATATTCCAACTATCAGTCCAAATATGGTGGCAGTTGATAATATTAATTTTTACTTCAATCATGCTCAAACTGAGTTCCTTTTTTTCAGGTCTCTATTTGCAGCAATTTATAAAAATGTGTATTTTTACAGTTGGTTGCCTCAGATTTCAGAGCCAAAGTCTAAAGCATCCAGTCTCAGCCACAGATTTTGCTATGTAACATCAAAATAATAATGTTGGTTTCAAGTTCTTTAGAACAAACAAAATGATACGAAGGCAAAGAAACTGTGGCCTAAATCTACTTTTTAATATAATTTGTGATGGCATTTACCCACATCAAAGTTGTGTCCTTTCTAGATGCTTTCGATTTCATATTCTATCAGCCCCAACTGCCATCAAGTGTTCAAACACTGGGAAAACAACACGTCTAGGAACTGACAACAAGATCTCATGTAACGCTAGTTTCACCTTGTCCCGGTTTTCCTTCTGCCATGGTCACAATTCAGAAAAGCCCACCAAGAAGTTTTGTGCCTGTGATGCAGCACAGATTAGAAAGGCTGGTTTTAGTTTTAAACTGCTAAAAGAACAAGAACTATACCAACAACAAAGCTCTCCTGTTTGACTAAAAGGCAGTATATTTCATAAACCATGAATATTTCACTGGGACATCGTGAAAAAGCCATATATTTATCCGAAAGATGTGCAAAGATGAAACCAGATTCTCACCATTTTAAGCTCTGGGATTTGCAAATCTTTGTTTTCTTTTTTCATCAATATCTACCCTTATGTCTACTGATTTGATTTTTTTGAGTTTTCTATAAGGCCTTTCTTTTTCAGCAAAGCAAATCAATCACAAAGAAGTTTCTACAGCACATTTATTTACTAAAGTTAAGATTCAGGTTAATCAAATAGCCTTTTGAAGCAGGTGAAACGTTACTTTAGATACTCAGGAGGACCAATAAGAATGCTTTCAAAGTCAATCACACAGACTTGAAGAAATTAAATATACTCTTCTACAATACAGGACCTATGTCAAAGGATATGAAAGTCGATCAGTCTTTTCAAACATGGTGGGTCCAGCCCCAAAGTCTTCAGTTAAACAAGTGGTGGCTCATCCTGGATAAAATCCTTCTACCACGGAGTACTGTTTAAAGCTAAATGTCCCAAAACTGGTTACATGTAAAAGCCAATACAGCTTCAAGTTTGTATTAAGAGACAACTTATAAAAAAGTTCTGTTATCCCTGCAGCATTTTTTGTAGATAAGGAATTAAAAACCTGTAAAAGGGAAGGGGGAATACTATGTAACCAATCCAGGGATCATTAACTTTACAAATTGGGAACATGATCATCTTTTTTTCAACTCTTTTTAAAACTCAAGTAGATAAATTTCCTGATGCTCCTTCTGGAGTGTCAGTAAGGACAGTTAACAAATGGCAATGTGGAAGCGTGCTCAGCGAGGAACCTGCTCGACCATCAAGTGATCTGTAAACAACTTCTTGGAAATATATTGGCAAAAACACCCTAATAGAAATTAACAGTGATAGAAGAGCAAAAGTTTGTCTTCATGAAAAGGGCCATGCTGAACATCTCCAATGGCTCCGATCTCTGATACTGCACCAAATGCAGACACTGTGTCGGAGCTAAAAGGACTCCATTCCATTGATATGTTTATTGCTTTGTGGCGTTTTGGCTGCAAGATAAAAAGGATAAGGCAGCAAGTCTCCCCAAACTGTGGAAAAATTAGGCACTCTGACAATTTGCACACGGCTTGTTCTCTTCTCGCCTGTAGCTTTGAAGCTGGATGGAGCACTGATAGATGCCAAAAGTATTCAGCAGCAATTGTCTCGCCTTGGACTGGACTTCCTCCCACTTTGGTGAACTACCAGGAACTGAAAGACAAGAAAGCCACAAAAAATAACAACTCTTTGCCAATTTCTCATGATGTTTTTCTCTAGCCTCTATGTAAGATAACTCTCCAGATGAACAACCAAAACTATCAAATACAAGTTAGTAAAAAGTTAGAGAGGAAAGAGATTGTGACTCTAATCACCAATACAAGAATTATGTGAACATCACACCAACTTCTTCCATAACAATGATCAGTAAGAGGAAGAAGGGCAGTTGGACTTACCATGCCCAGTGATTACTGGATGATGGACCTAAGAGGATAGAGTTAACTCTTCCTTCTAGGGGAAAGCAGGGCAGGAGAAGAAACCCTCTTCAGTCACAGGAATTGGCTTCAGCCCTATGGACTTATCACCTTTACTGTTTGAGAATTACCACCCAAACCCACCATTGGTCAATCAGCAATGTAGAAATCAAGCCATCTCCTGTGGAAGTCTCACCCAAAGTTGTGCTTTGTTGGGAATCTTGATCTGGTGGAATAATAGAAGCCAGTGGAAGGACTGAGAGTGCAAACACACCCACAGAACCAGGTCTTCAGAGGTTATAATCAACCCCTGGAGGAGAGCCAGTTTCATGATCATCAGACATGAAACTGTGAGGCAATTTCTTTGATAGCCTCCTATAGTTTCAATGTGGGCTCTAGGGACAAGAACTACTTCATGTTGATCAGGACTCCCAAATAAAACATCTGTTGGATGAAGACAGCAAACTTTTGGTTCTGTATACTAGAAATCCATGACCCTCTAGGCAATGTATTCTGAGTTATATGTTGGATGCAGTCCTGATCCTGGATGGATGTCTAATTAGTAGATCATCTAGGTATCATATGTATTCATGCCTCAGATGCCCTATTAGTTCTGCCATTATCTTGATAAGTACTTTAGACTTAGGGAAGGAGCTTAAATTGGAATTGACTGTTGTTATAAGCAAACCTAAGGACTCTCTGGTGGTCTGATCTGCTGGGAATACATGAGCACATTTTCAACAGTTTATTGATTTGTCTGCTAGGACTGCCTCTGCAGTTGATTTTAGAGTTTCCACCTTGAATATCCTCTATTTAATGAACCTACTGAGGAGCTTTTTGAGTTCAGAATTGCTCTCCAACCTGTTCTTGAGAATGATAGAAAAAATGAAGATATTCCTGAAATGTTTCTCCCATAGGTGCATTCTCTAAGGGGCTTATTGTACTATAGTAGCAACTGATAGCTTGAAAAACTTTCACAAAGCCAAACAGTGAAGGATTTTTCATAAGGAAGCTCTTTTTAGCTCTGCATTCTCACTAGAAGAGAACTTAGTTTTAACCCATCAGTTCCATCAAATGAGAACTGCAGAGTCCAATCATTGTCTAAAGAATGATTGACTTACAGGCCAACTTCCTACAGAAACAAGAACAGCATCACTTTGTCCAACCACTAAGGAGTCACTCTGACCCATGGATTGCTAAATCCTCTTCATCTCAGAACTCCAGAAAAAAAAAAAAGATACAACTCAATATAAATGTCTTTTAAAAACTAATTTTTGACCTGGGATGATCAATTAATCTATTTCCTCCCATCCCTTGCCTGTGTATGTGTTTTTAGATTGCAAGCCTGTATCCTTTATTTTACTTCACAGACAGCATCTAATAACTAGGTACCAACTGAGGCAAGTGTTTAGAAATAACGGATCATAACACATTTATACATAATTTATCAAAAGATTCGACATATTTTACCTAATTGTAGGTGGACAATGGCAATTGTTTTTCCTGAAGTTAGAGACCAGACATTCAGGTTTTCCACTGAAAATACGTCTTCAATTTTCATCAACTCTTCCTTAATAAGGTCCACATTCAGATGTCTTGGAACTCCTACAAGCAGAACAAAAATCAAGGAGCAGAGTTTTCTGTTTAATCTTGAAAAAAATATGCTATACATGAACAAGCTATAAAACCATTAAAATAAAACAACAGTTGCACAGTACATAGCAAAGTTTTGGAGTATGCCTTGTGACTTGTTTCAGGAGAAAATTACAATTCTAAAAAAATCTACTTATTTATAAGATTGCAAAAACCTCCAAATTTTCCTGGAACTCAGGAAACTCACAGTAGTGGTCTAAGAAAGCCATATATTCTCCCTCCTCCATTTTGCTCTACAACAATAAACCCTAAGAGAAGATTAGGCTACATGAGGAAGGCTAGCCCAAAGATGCTCGAGTGAGGGTGGACTTGAAATGTGGCCCTCCAGCCCTATTTAAACCACTACACAACATTGCCTCTGAGTGTCTTTCACTAGCACTGGAAGACCAAATAAAATTAGTAACTGTATGACATTAAACAATTATCTCCCTTGGCAGAATTTAGTCCCAGAAGAATCTGGTCTGAGCAAGAAGGGAACACAAATTATCTGTGACACACAACTGAAATCAGTTGCTGGGTAGATATGGTGATACACACCTCATATGAAACAAATCAACGTATCTTTCCTATGTTCACAGTCCAGCATAAATAAACAACTAAAATACTTGTATTAGATGTCACAATGCAACTGTATAATCAAGTCATTAGCATGATGATATCATACGGTGTGTATTGTTATTTTAACATCATCAAGGCTTGTTCTGGAAGCTGCTGATGCTGAATATAGCTAGGCTGGGGGTCAGTATGTTCACAGTTTTAGACAGCAGAGTATTAAGTTCTCATAGCCTTTTTATCACTTTATGCTCAGCTGGTAGAATGTATCATCTATCATCAGATAATTGATCAAAATTATCAAGAGCGTATGTATAATTTTTAAAAACTCTCTGTATTCTATCTCTTCTCAGTCGTAGGACGTTTAATGGCTCTTACCTTCAAGTACAATTATTCCAGTGTCCCATATGATCCGAAATGTGGTGAAAGCCACAAGAATTGAAAATACATATGTACATATAGGATCAGCAATCTTGTATTCTGGCTGAAACGAAAAAGATTAAAGCCTCGTAACCAAGTCCCTGGCTGTAAATATTTTGAAGGCTCAGAAATGGGGGAGTGGGAAGAATTCATTTGGTCAATATTTTAAGGATGGACATAAGAATTTCCACCAATCCAATAGGCAGCTGGGCCATAGATATTCACCTCCTGCCCTCTCCATGCAATTTTTCACTAAATCAGATTTAAAAAAACAACAACTGGAACACCCATAATTATTTTGGATTTGGGGAAATCAAGCATTTGCAATGTGCAGTTTTCCACACAGCTTATGTAAGCTGCACTTACAAGAATCAGTTTTCTGGAATTTGGCAAATGTGTATGAGGTTTTCCCAAACATAAGTAACACTTTCCTTGGTAAGAAGATGCTGGCCAACTTCATTTATTACAATTGTACAGCAGGACTGCGTCTTCCCAAACGTTCTCATGAATAATATTCTTTAATGCAACTTCATTGCAACTATAATTTGGGCCACGATAGATAAGAAAAAGAGTATGCAACTGTAGAACAAAGGCTGTTTTGTATGCAGGATATTAAATGCCTTTGGGAAAAAAATCAGCTACAGAGGATCACTGAACTTTTCATATTAAAAAAAACCCTCTGATTTATTTAAACTACCTTAATTAATCATTCTTGATTGCAGTGCCTGGGATAATATGTAGTTTGGAATACAGTTAACCTTTGTACTGTACTGTATTATTCTAAATGGGCTGAATAGCATAGTACAGTCTTGGTGTACAGAAACACCCAAGTTTCAATTCCAACATCTATTAAAGAATACCAAGGAGACCTTTAAAAGGCTTTTCCTTAGTTCTTAAAGGATCGGTATAGATGGTGCAAAATGGCCCGTTGTCATGACTCCATATATGGCTTTTTCATATGCTCCCCCCCCCCCACCGATATGTGTTACTCAGAAAAGAATCTGTTACATAGCTGCACACAACTTTTCTTAAAGTGTAAGAAGAGGTTACAAAGCGTTAAAATGTACCAGCAGAACCAAAAAGTGTAACTTGTCTTAAAATAGGTCAAGGTTACAAACACACACCAACAAGACAAGAAGGTCATGTGCATTGCAACTGTTTGAGCGTTTATATGTCCCACTGAACTGAGCTAGGGTCAAAACAGAAAAGACCCTGTCTTTCCAAACATCTCAGTCCCTCCTCAGAACTAGTAGCAAACAAGTCTCTAAGAGCTCTGCTTGGTGATATTTATTAGAGGGAAGGTTAAGAGTACAACATAAGGATTCCAACAAATACCTTACTTTGAAATGTGGCAAGTACTGTATATATAGGCAATTTTATGGCAGTGAAACTAAACTTTTGGTTCATTTTCTGGCATGTTTATGATAAAGGGGGCAGAAAGCCTGCCTCTTTAACAAAACAGTGGATAACATGCAGCTGTTGATTGTTTTATTCACTGCTAGTCTTACCATCAGTCTGGGAATTAAGGAAGATCTTTCAAAAGGAGGGTGAGGGGTTTATATAGGAACCTGTACTGAATCTCGGCAGTTACTAATCCCAGCAGTACCATCATAAAACATCAAGTCAGTTTCTGGTAAGTTTTTGTTCAAAGAAAGTCTGCAGTTTCAAAAAGCATTGTCCCTCAAAACATTTATAAAAATGTAAAAGCAAGTGAAATACTACTGAATTGTTTGCAATAACCCCAGCCACTTCAACTCAGTTCCTATTTGAGCAAATCCTACATCTCCTTGAACAGTTTGACTCTCCAAGGACTTTCCAGCTCACCAGAACAGAAGACTTGTTTCCTAAGCTGAAAAAAGAGGAGGAATGTGGAGTCCTGGGTAAGATGTTTTTACATGAGCATACCAAGATCACTGTTATAACGTTCCAAGGCTGAACAATCCAAGATCAGAGATGCCCACAAGTCTAGTGAAAAAACCCTGCCCACCTTAAATCGAATGATGTATGCAGCTACGAGCACGCCAATACTTTGCACCAAGTCTCCCAGGGCATGGACGAATGCAGCTCTCACAGCCAAGCTGCCATGGCCGTGACTATGAGCGTGCCCAGAGGCTGGAGAGGAAGAGCTGGACGGAGGAACAGATGAAGGTGTATGCGAATGGGAGTGAAGGTGACCTGACTGGTTCAGCAGAAAGCCCATTCTGAAATGAAAAGTGGAGGAGAAGAAAGGTGCTTTAAAAAA